GAATGATACTTGCTTCTGTCAAAGACATGTTAAGAACATTGAAATTGAAGCTGCTTTAGATCAGACTCATGCAACAAGTTGCATTAGTGCAAATACATCTGGGACAGAAACCCTTATATTTTACGACATCGAGTTACAACATCGACCGGATAGCGCAGATCTAAGTACCTCGCAGCATCCCTTATCCATCAACATGCCAGCGCAACATCCTGTGAACAACTTCTAACATGCATGTCGTGAGATCACGACAGGCAGGAAAGGAAGAAGCGACATATTGAAAGGAATTAGTGCTATGTAAGGTCTGAGCGCGAGGAAATTTTTGGAAGACGTTAGCGTTATGGTTATTGCTCTTCATTTCTAAGATCTCATTTCATGACGTCGCAGCTTCGAATTTCACTGTGGCATATCTTGTCTGTCAATTTCAGCGTCAGGCTGCTCCTCAGGGGTGAACAAGCCAGCAGAAATACCCCATTGTATGATTTCATGCAATACCCAGTAAAAGCTGGGGCGTCTCCCGGAAGCGGCGCGCACACAAGCTTGACGGTCTGTTGGACAAAGCCACCCTCTTACAAGCGGAGATGGGTAAGGATAGCTCAAGGCAACTATTAAATCAGAAACATTCCAGTCAGCTACCATCGACGTTGGAATCCTCACTGGACATCAAAGGTTGGAGGATTTTCTGAGAAGATGAGTGGATACAGATCGCGTAGAGGAAATGGGAGGGTGAGAAATCATGTAATGTTGAATTAACCACCTCTACAATGGCACGTGCCGCAGTCAAGGCATAAGTATAGCTGTCCTAAGAAGCAAGATTTCCTCAGTCAGCCAATCCGCAGTAACTGATCCAACTGTATTGGCACTAGTAGAAAAATCCTTCGCATAGGCACCGTCTATGCTGCGGAAGCCGGATACAAGAGGAAGAAAAGAATGCGTTTTGGCAAGCTCAACGATCACATAAAATCCATACCACATGTTAAGATATCCATGTTTAAAACAGACCTCAATGGTCAGATGGTTGAAAAGAAATAGTGCAGGGATTGTTACGGGAACGACGGATACGGGACATGCAATGAAGAAGGCGAATGCATTCTACACTGTATAGCCTACAACCTAGCATAGTCAACAGTACTACAAAAGTGTGAGCACGTAAGTCGAAAAGTAAG